ACCTCAGAATTGCCAGTTCCTGAAAAAACTAGGTCTAAAAGTTATACCTCAAGGAAAACGCCAAGACAAATAATTTATATATTTTTTGGGTGTTGTTGCAACAAAAATGGACGAAATTCTCAACATTCCAGCAGCAGTGAATTTTGATGAGTCCATAGCTCATTATGAAATTCATGCTCATCAACCGTATGCTTCATCCTCTTTTAACAATAGTGATGAAATTCGAATTTCAGTTCAACATCAAGATTTATGTATTCTACCGAGTAAAAGTTCATTGCACATATTTGGAAAATTGACTAAAAATGATGGTATTGCCGTTACAGAAAACGTGCACTTGACTAGCAATGCAATATGTTTTTTATTTGATGAAATTCGCTATGAATTAAATGGTATCGAGATTGATCGATGCAAATACGTTGGACATACAACTATAATGAAAAATTTAGTATCTCTGACTCCACCTCAGCTAAATCTAAGTGAGAATGCAGGGTTTTCAAAAATTTCAGCTGATGCAAGAATTACTTTAGAAAATGGATATTTTGATGTTACAATACCACTTGGCATGATTTTTGGTTTTGCTGAGGATTATAAGAAAATTCTTATGAACGCTAAACATGAACTTATTTTAACAAGAGCACGTAATGATACTAATGCTATAATACAAACAGGACAAGGAGCTGATGAAGAATTTAAAATTTTCATCAATAAACTAGAATGGATGGTACCATACGTTTTACCTGCTGATAATAATAAAATAAAATTATTAAAATTCATTGAAAAAGATCCTTTAATTTCAATAAGTTTTCGATCATGGGAAATGTATGAGTATCCGTTAGTTCCAACAAGTTCAAAAGTCCTATGGCAAATAAAAACATCAACACAATTGGAGAAACCACGATATGTAATTGTAGGATTTCAAACAGCAAGAAAAGATAAACGAAAAAAATATGCCTGTCATTTTGATCATTGTAACATTACAAATGTTAAAATATTTTTAAATTCACAATATTACCCTTATGGAAATTTAAATCTAAATTTTGATCAAAATCAGTATGCTCTGCTTTATGAAATGTATGCTAATTTTCAAACATCTTACTATGGAAAAGATTCAGAACCTATTTTAACAAGGGCTATTTTTAAACAACTATTTCCTCTAATTGTTATTGATTGTTCAAAACAAAATGAGTTTCTTAAACAGGCATCAGTAGATGTACGTTTAGAATTTGAATCAGGAAATAATATGCCGGCTGAGACCACTGCATATTGCCTCATTATTCATGACCGCGTTGTACAATATAAACCAATCAGCGGCGTCGTCAAGAAGTTGCTGTAGAGGAGTGGGGGTAAAGTGGTGGGGGTATGATTGGGTATAAAAGCAGTTGTTCTCAGCCAGAAATTTATTTTTATTTCAGGATGGAGTTCATCGTAGACGTCCAAGGTTTTAAAAGGCCATACAATGAGTTTGTTTTCAAAGAGTTGGCAGTACTTCCTCTTCAACCAGATGCTCAACCACTTGTCTACCTATTTGAATCACCTTGTACGTGGAATTCATTACCAGGACGCTATAAAAGTGAAAATCGCTGGTTAACACACAATTACCATGGAATTCATTGGACAGCTGGAGACGTCTCTTACGATGAACTTCGTCCAATTCTACAAGACGTACTTCGAGGTGCTAGTGTCATCTATGTAAAAGGATTAGAGAAAAAGGCATGGCTAGAAAAATATTTAGTAAATGTACAAAACTTAGAAGATTTTGAATGTCCATCGTTGAAAAAAATTAAATCTGATTTGTTAACATGTACGCATCATACTCTTTATAATGATAATTGTGCTGTAAAAAATGTAAAGATTCTCCGCGATTGGTTTTTGGATCCTCCAAACCAATATATAAGTGCTATTGTTAAAGAAACTGATGAAGTTGATTCTACGTTTACTAATTTAAAATCTTTTTATGAAAATTGTGAATATATTTAATAAGTTTAAAAAAAAATAAATATTAATTTTAAATTTAAAACTGTGTCTATTAATTTTAAAAAACCTATCCCTGAAATTAGAAATATAAAATTAATTTATACCGGGAATAAAAAAAAAAGTTAAAACCAATTTATAGTTAAAATGTTTGTTTATTATTATTATTTTTCATATTTACAATATTTATTATACAAATTTAAATTCGACGATATTATAATTTCCACCAATATATTTCATTTGAAGCTGCTTTGCTAGTGCAGCTTCCTGCATCATTTCCAGTGAGCTTGGATTTTCTTCAAAGTGCTTGACAAATCTTGAAGGTAAGTAGGTGACGAAGTCAGCATCGATTTCAACAATAACTTTCGGCCCATATTTCGTCTGAATTTTTTTCATTCTTGTGACGTAGTAAAGTCCATCTTTCATCAATTCCGCGAGAGGTTTCGTCGGCAGGTATCCTTCAAAACGTCCAACAGAGTTGACTTTCTCTAGATCCATTTTTTTATTTTCCAAAAAACACCTTAAACAAAAAATAAGATAAATCATTGTAGAATTAGAAAAATAACTAAAAAAATACAGCTCAAAAAGAAAACTTTAAAAAATAAAGCTGAAACTTAAAAAATTTAACTGAAAAAGAAACTTAGAAATAAACCTGAAAAGGAAACTTAGAAAATTTGTTTAGAAATAAAAACTTAGAAAATTTATCTTGAAAAGAAAACTTAGAAAATAAAGTGCTGAAATATAAAAAAGTTAAACGAAGAATTTTTAAAATTAAGGCTGAAATGAAAACATAGAAAATTTGCTGAAAAGAAAACTTAGAAAATTTGTCTTGAAACAAAAACTTAGAAAATTTGCTGAAAATGAAACTTAGAAAATTTATCTTGAAAAGAAAACTTAGAAAATAAAGTGCTGAAATATAAAAAAGCTAAACGAAGAATTTTTAAAATTAAGGCTGAAATGAAATGTTTACAAATATAGACATACTGTTACTTGGAAGAGCTGAAAAAATAATGACTCTGGTGGACCCGGAGTCGAATTATATCCGCACTGTCCCCACTTTTCCTTCAATCCCACCACATGCATTAATGCGCGCGCAGAAATATCCCCACCACATGCAATAATGCATGCGTCGAGGTATCCCCACCACATGTAATAATGTGCGCGCAGAAGTATCCCTACCACATCCGATAATTCGCGACCAAAAGTATCGTTCCTCTCTGACCATGTGCAAGGAATTATAACACGATAAGTAACTGATATTTATTAAAATAAAAATTCAAAATTTATTTGTGAAATTTATTTATTTAAAAAAGTTAAAAAAGTTAACATTCATTCCTGTCTTCCAGAGCTATCAGGAGAAACGCTGGGTGGGGGAGTTTGAGGTCTTAAAAAGTCTATGTAAAAGTCTACGTTAAAATCGATGTTGATCACTTCTAAAATTTCGTTTTCATCAACTGGGGGCAATTCCTCCAACAGTTCTGCCATCTAAAATTTAAAAAATTATACACTGTTCCGCCATACTTTCTTAATAATTTTATTAAATGATAGTAATAATTAACCTCTTGCGGATCAACATCGATTATCAGACAATCATCATCATCATCATCATCATCAGGTCCATCATCTGAATCGCTAATAATGATGATGTCAGCTTGGCTGTCATAGTCATCCAAGCAAATAATTTCATCATCGTCACTCATAACCTCTTCATCAAAAATAACTATATCTCTATTTGGTGAATTTTGAGAATTATAGCCTTCGTCCATTTTATTTTCTTTCTAATCAAACATAAATTTAAAAAATTATAAAACTTATTTTTATAGAAAATTTGAATTAAATAAAAAGATTTTTCAATTCTAAAATAAATGTATAAGGTTTTTAAATTTTTTTAACTTAGAAAAACTGATAAATAGGAAAAGATTAACTTAAACAAAACTAAAATAAGAAATGTAAGAAAAAGATTAAAAAATCGACAATTACTTCTGGAAAATAAACCTAAGTTGAAAATAATACTGCTAGAGATGAAAGTCCCTAAAAGTTTTATTAGTAAGGAAGAGCTGAAAGAAGAGTTGTTTCCCTAAAGTAAACCTGAAAAATAATAAAAATAGTGGCTAGCGCACCGCGACTTATACCCTCTTCTCCCACCGCAGAGTCATATCCCCACCGCGACTCACCCTCCTACTGCACAGCTACGCCCAACCGAACACTCCTACTTCGACGCACACAACTTTTATGCAGATTTAATAATAATACTCATTTAAAAATATTTCGGATTTATTAATACATTTATAGTGTAATTGAATATTTAATAATTGTATTTGAACTTTGCGATGTTTTCAATATAAAGAAATAGTGTAGAATCAATTATTATTATATTACGTATATTATTTCATATTTGCATATCATAAAAATAAACCAAGTTCTTTGGAACTTAGTTTTCTCAATATTTAATTTATCTGTCATGTGTAAAATACGTTGTGTGACAAGTTTCTAGAAGATATTTTAGAAATTCTGCCAACTTTAAGAAATTTAGTTAGGTTGGCAGCAGTGTCAATCTGTAAGAGCTAGTCAGTAAGAGCTAGGTAAGTGACATGTGAAGCGGATCACGTTGAAACCTCGTCTGATTTAGTCTGGATAAAATAAGGAATAAAAATGGTTAGTACAAATTGAAATGATAAAAATATTTGTACATTTTAAGTTTTAAGATGTTTCATTTGTCAAAAATCAATTGTTTTGTTTCAGAATTTTAATTCAAATCATATTTGCTGTTTTTGTCGTCATGTCATGGTAAGTACTTTTGTAATTTTTCTGATTTACAATTCTTTTAAAATTATATATATATATATATATATATATATTTTAATTTCATACTATTGTGTTTAAAAGTGTTATCTAGTATATCATGCAAATATTCATTTAAAATAATAAACTTTTCTTTGACAATTGTGGATTAAAAACTTAACCTTTACTTTCTCGTTAAAGTGTTTTGTTACCTAATATTATTGTAATAAAAAAATGGTCCTTTGCAGATGCATCGTGTATTATGTCAATGTCAATGCTCAAATATTCAAAATCAGCCTTTAATGCAGAATCAAGTGACTCTTCAGCATCGATTGTCCCAACAATGTCCAAGGCCATATCGACCAAGATTTTTCGACAATAACAGCCTTAATCACAATGTTATTCACAGACCAATAATGATACCTCGAGTTCAACACGAATTACAAAGGAAAACAAACAATGATGTGAGTAGAAAAACAAATTATATTAAAATTCTAGATTTAAAACTACAAGTTTTCAGTTAAAAATTTAAATTCACTTTTCTTAAATTTTTATTTTTTTTTAATCGAAATAAAATATTTACAGTAATTTTTAATTAAATTTTATTCTTAAAATCTTGGACATTTTCTTTTCTACAATTTTTTAAAGAAATCTAGTCTTATATAATTTTTATTAAATTTAGTTTTGTTCTTTTTGTTTAAAAAAGAAATTTACCTTCTCCTGTAAATTGTTTATATACTATATTTATTTATTTTGTATTAAATAGGAGAAAGAAAACAGTCAAATCCGTAGATCGAGATGGAATCCTGTCGAAGAGTATGTCCCAGTTGGTACAAATAATGACAACACAGTTCAAGAATACGTTCCAACTCCCAAACAAACAATACCTTCAGAACAATTAGTGGAAAGAACTCATGTGGAAGGAACAATTCCTGTGCAAATATTAAAAAGTGTGACTTTGGAGCAAGTCAGGAGTGCGTCACCCAAGGAATCGCCTCTATCACCAACGTCTGGTAGCTCATCCAGTTCTTCGGAGTCAACTTCTTCATCGGAAACAAGTTCTTCATCAACGTCAAGTTCACCTTTAAAAAATGATACATTGGATCCAATGGCTACAGGTTTAACCGTAAATCCAATGACAATGAATTCTGCAGCACCTTCGATACCTAATTCTTCCGTGTTAAATGTGAACTCATCAAATGTTTCAAGTTCGATTTCTTCAATATCACGAACTTTGAATCCAAACCCGCCAACGTCAAGAGTTTCAGACCCGTCAACGTCAAAAGGATCAGACCCGTCAACGTCAAGAGGTTCAAACCCATCAATGTCAAGAGGTTCAAACCCGCCAACGTCAAGAGTTTCAGACCCGTCAACGTCAAAAGGATCAGATCCGTCAACATCAAAAGGTTCAAACCCGTCAACGTCAAGAGGTTCAGACCCGTCAACGTCAAAAGGATCAGATCCGTCAACATCAAAAGGTTCAAACCCGTCAACGTCAAGAGGTACAAACCCATCAATGTCAAGAGGTTCAAACCCGCCAACGTCAAGAGTTTCAGACCCGTCAACGTCAAAAGGATCAGATCCGTCAACGTCAAAAGGTTCAAACCCGTCAACGTCGAGAGGTTCAAACCAATCAATTTCAAGAGGTTCAAACCCGTCAAAAGATTCGATGTTAAACCCCTCAACGTCAGGAGCTTCGAATTCAAACCTGACAACGTCAAGAGGTTTAAATTCAAAGCCGTCGACTTCAAGAGGTTCAAATATGAGACTGACAACAACAACTATTCTTTTAAATGAAAACGATCCATGTCTTCACAAGTCAACAAGGCCGAAAAAAATTCCTACAGGTAATAAACGGCAGAAGCCAACTGATGAAAGCGATAACTCTAAAAAGGTGAAAAAATAACTTAGCAATTTTAATTCTCTGGATGTTTTATTTCTTAGAAATTGCATGAAAAAAGAATTTCCATATTGCAAGCCATTTTAAATTCGGCGCGAAAATATAGTGGCGCCATCTAGCGGTGGCAACCGGAACTAACTCGGTCGGTAAAGAAGAACACTACTCCAAGCCAGAGAAAAATGTCGGTAAACAGATTCCTACTTTACCGACTGTCGGTAAGTGCGCCAGAACCCCCCTAGCTTAACTACTATCGTGGAAAAAATCGGCAACGGGGAAGGTCCGAGGACAACAGCCAGCGATCACATGAAACAGTGGGCCGAGTTCACAGAGGATTAAATGTCTAGTGCCGGAACATCTGAGGCCAGATGTTGTCAAGATAGCCGAGTGTAGGATTATTAATGAAAAAGAACAATAAACAAATAAATTAAGTGAAATTATTTTTAAATTCAAAATAACGTTGGTTTAGCTCGGTAGACGGCGCGAGTGTTGTGAAGAGAAGGAAGAGAAGGGACTCTTTTGTATTTGATTAGTTAGTGTTAATTTGGCTGTCGTCATGTAAAGCATATATTTTATATTTCTGTATTTTCTAATTCTATTTCAAATAAAGTAATGTTCAAATTATAAAGTTACGAATACTACAATTATTAGTATTAATATAAATAAATAATTAATTTTTTATAACATGTATTAAAAAAACAATTTCATTAAAGAATTGTGAATATGAAATTAAAATTTTGCAACTTTTTTTTTAAAAGAATTTTGTTAAAAAATTGTAATTATTAAATAAATTTTAATCTAAATTTTTCTTATTTCTATGTCTGAAAAATTAAATTTTTGTTGAAAATTATAATGGCAAAATACAAATTTAACTTAATTTTTTGATCTTTTATTTAAAATTTTTTTTAAAAGTTATAAGTAAAAATTTATGAAAAATATATCAGCTTAATTTTTATTATTTTAACAAAATTCTAAATTTTTTTTTATAAATAAAGAAAAAAATTGCATATTCTCTATTGGATGGATGTTTAAGATTTGTAACTTCTTTTAAATCTTAGCGAGCGTTCCGACGTTCGGAATTGAAACGTAATTTGCTATAGGTATCGTGCATATCTAAAGTGACAGATTTGACAAATTTCAATTTTTCCTTAATAATTAAAGAATTCTGAATTAATTTAACATAAACAATGCAGAAGTGAACTCTTAAGAAGTCCATCTCTCAATTACAAAATGTTTTTTGAACAATTTCAGCTTATTTATCAATTTCTTTTAAGTTATTCCTAATGTTGACCCAAAATGCTAAACTGCTATAGGAACCACTAACACATTTCAAGTAATTATTTATTATTTATCACTTTATTTATTATAATTCATGCATAAATTAACTCTATTAGTGTTCATTTAACCTTTTCTAATTTATTTTTATCAAATTTCATCCATTAAAAGACTTTTCTCATCAATTTACCCAAAGTCTACTCAAATCCGCCAGGGGGTGATAAAATTTTTATTACGATCGCATAGATTTTTACATAAAAAATGAATTTTTGATATTATGTATACTTCAAGTATACTTATATATGCTTGAAGTGTATAAATAATATCTTGTCGTAATTTGGATTTAATTCACTGTATATGTTATAATGTTAATCTGTTTCAAAAAGTTTAAATTTTTGTTTAAGGTGGCCTAACTTATAATTACAATGGCGTTGAATAATAAATTAATAAAATTAACCTCAGAAAGAATGCAAGAGTTCTGGCAATTACTATTATTGAATATAATGATATATCATTAGTAGTTTTAGTAAGCAATGTATTTAACAAATCATTTAATTCTTTTTCTTCGACATTTACTGCATACAATTCCAGCTTATGCATTCCTCTATTTTCTATTTCTTGGATGCATTTTACCACAATTGAAGGTACAAAAGGTGGATCTTCAGATGCATAATCTTCGATTAAACCCTAAATGAACATAGTTTTATTTAAGTATCAAGAATATATACGAATAGAATAAAAATATTTATCATTTATAATTATTTAGTATACTTATTTTATTTATAATGTTTAGAAACCCCACCACAGTACCTCCCCCCTTTTTTACCCGAACAGCACCGAAACTTCCCTGAACCTTGACTGAACCTCGCTTGACGAGGTTCGGGAACTTGAGTCGCGAGGTCCAAACAAGGTTGAGTTAATGTTTAAATGTCCGCGCATAATAAAGGTCAGTCACAGAGGTTGGCTGAATATTGGATTTGAATTTCTGTTAAATATTAAAATTAATGATTCTTGGCAGATTTGTTAAATGTAATCATTAAATATTCTGAAAATTTAGAAGGAGCATAAATACGGAAAAATAAAAAGAAAGCAAATGAATTTAAAAACACAATGGGAAAAATTAATAATTAAATTAAAATAAAAAAATGGTCATCAAAGTATTATTGAAACCATTTCTTCCAAAAAAGAATTTGTCTCAAATCCAATAAATAGGAGAGACATCGGGCAGAAAAAAAATTTCGACAAGAAAAAAATTATTAATAACATAATGTCATACTTAATAATTCGTTAATTAATTATTTTTAACGAAAATTTGACAAAAAAAAATTTGTGGTCAAAAAAAATATTCGTAGTAAAAAAAATTAATTAACTAATTATTAAGCTAATTATTTAATTAATTTTTTTAAAGAGAAAATTTAAAAAAAAATTATTTTCTCATTGTGATATTGTTTTGTGCTACGTATAAATTTTTGGTAAATTTTCGTAGTAAAAAAAATCAACTAATTATTACGGTATTTAGTTAATTAATTTTTTTGGAGAGAAAATTTGACAAAAAAGTTATTTTCTTATCGTGATAAGTTTCTTAGGCCACAAAATATTTTTTTACAGAAAACATTTAAAAATGATAAAATTTCTCATTTTGATATTATTTTTGTGCTACAAATATTTTTTTGTTACATTTTTGTAGTAAAAAAATGAAGTAACTAATAATTACGTTATTTAGTTAATGAATTTTCTTTACAGAGAAAATTTGACAAAAAATTATTTTCTCATCATGATATTTTTTTTGAGCTACCAATCATTTTTTTACATAGAAAATTTAAAAAAATTATTTTCTCATGGTGAAATTTTTTTGTGCTACGAGTAAGTTTTTTTGTTAATTATATTCTCATCGTGATATTTTTTTAGGCCACAAATAATTGTCTTAAAAAAATTTTTTTTACTACGAATATTTAACAAAAAAATTATTTTTTAATGGTAATATTTTTTTGACCACAAATTTTTTTTTGTCAAATTTTCGTTAAAAATAATTAATTAACGAATTATTAAGTATGACATTATGTTATTAATAATTATTTATTAAGTTAATTATTTGTCATATTTAAAATAAAATAAAATATCTAATAAAATCAAATGTTTCAAATGTTCCCGCGCTGCGCTGATGGCTCAGCTCTGGACTTTAGTTCGCTCAACGCCACAGGGAGGGCGAACATCATAACTGTTTCTCGCAGTTGAGGTGCCATTAGATTGGTATATAAGCAGTGATCGGTAATTTTTTTCTTGTCGAAATTTTTTTTCTGCCCGATGTCTCTCCTATTTATTGGATTTGAGACAAATTCTTTTTTGGTTTCACTAATACTGTGATGACCATTTTTTTATTTTAATTTAATTATTAATTTTTCCCATTGTGTTTTTAAATTCATTTGTTTTCTTTTTATTTTTCCGTATTTATGCTCCTTCTAAATTTCCAGAATATTTAATGATTACATTGAACAAATCTGCCAAGAATCTTTAATTTTAATATTTAACAGAAATTCAAATCCAATATTCAGCCAACCTCTGTGACTGACCTTTATTATGCGCGGACATTTAAACATTAACTCAACCTCGTTTGGACCTCGCGACTCAAGTTTAAAAAATTACCAAACCATTGCCAGATGCACCAGTAAAGAAAATTGATCTATTTGTATTTCCCTAAAAAATATATTTCTATTATGTATACTTACACCGAAAAAAAAAAGTTCTCAAATTTAGAGGATTCCTCTTCTTTTGCAGCAACTTTTCCTTTTATATATGGGCACTAAAGTTTTCATATCTAATTGAGAGGATTTTCCTCTTTTATATTTTGAGAGGAATAATTTCAAATAAAGATTTATTCATCTTGTTTCAAACTTACGTCAAATTCAGAAATGTCAACCTTCTTTACAGGGTTAAAGGAAATTTATGATTTAATTTACTCGTTATTACTCGGATTAAGTAATTTATAATGAAAGGAACCATTTTTGGAGAAAAAATATAGACGGCGAAAACACGAGCTGAGTTTTTATACAGTAAAGTACCAAAGATTTTCAGGTTGTTAAAAATGTTTTTAGTTTTTGTTCATTTTAAAATAAAGTGCTCAGTATTCAAGTGAAAAAAAGTTAATGGATTATTTAAATCAAAGTAAATATATTTTTAAAATAGTGTAGAGATCAAATTGATGAAATAATCAATTCTGATTTGAATATTATTAAATTCTAACCCTAGAAAAAATAGGGGTTAAACAGATCGCATTGTTGATAAATTATAATAAATTTATCACAGTTTTTAATATGAATAGAAATAATTTTTTATAAATTAAAACCTTAATTTTCAGTGAAAAATTTGTTAATTAAATAATTAATGTAGAAAGTCCAATTTCAGATAACAGATTTTTCAGCTCGTTGTCCATTTTATTTTGAACTGTCACTTTTCAAACAGTTTGAAGATGCGCGCAACAAAACAAAATGAAACTACAAAAATCTTTTTTACAGCATAAATTTGTTTCATTTGGAGAGGAATAATTTCAATTATAGAAAAAAAATCTTAAATGCAAATGAATAAATTCAATCAAAGAGAAAATATTAAAAGTTATCATTTAATAAAAATATTCTCAAATAAAGAAGAAAAATCCTCCTTTTTGTAGATGAATATTCGTATATTGAAAATAAAATGTAAAAGTAATTTATGAGCGGAATTTTCTTCTCATTTGGAGA